TTATTAAAGTTTTTAATTTGTTGTTGTTGTTTTAATTCTCAGGTTCCTCCTGCTTCGCTGCTGAGACATTCATGTTGAGCATTGACAAGAAGATTGTCAACAACCGCATCACAACCTTCACCTCTGCTATCTGCCTGTTTGGCAGTTACTACTGCTTTAACATACACTACCCTGTGGAACTACGATCAACACTGGAGTTCCTTCAACGGTACAATTTCTTTTATTATGGATTTATTTTTGTGCTTATCAAACTTGGCCATTTGATATCCCACCTCAGGTTGTTAATTTCCTCAATCTCTCTTGCCCTTTTTTCATGAAGGTGTTTCTTTTCCATAAATCCTGAGAGAGGCACCAAGGTTGAATCCAAGAAGAAAAAAGTGTTCTCAGTCAATCCCAGAGTCCTCACTCTCATCTCAGACATTGCTGACCATGAGTGGATCTAGTCCTACCCCTCTTGTTTGAGACGAAGTGATAAAGGTATACTATGTTACATACTCTACAGATGTTCTATTTTTGAAACAATTGTTACATTTCTGATTGTGAGTGGGAAGTTTTTAACAATGTGAAGTTTTACTAGACACAATTTGTAAAAGTACATGTTCTACTTTTGATTCACTGTTTTATATCTGAAAAATGTATCTGGTAAAAATGTGGTAAACCTGCGATTTTGTTTCTTGGATTTTAATTTTCCCAGTTTTAAAGATATTTGTATTCCAATAGTGTAAAAGTATGCTGCATGTACATTGCTGGCATTTGTAGTTATCCAAAAATTTGCAGTTGAAGTTCTCAAAACAAGTGTAAAGTTTTTGTTTGTTACCTGATGCAGTTTTAAGATGTACATTTTCAGCTTTACTGCTCAGTTCTGTGTGCAAAATATGTGGGTGTAAACTTGTTCCTGTAATTTCTTCAATTCAGACTTTCTTTCAATTATACAAAAAATGTTTAATTCTCTATATTTGTATTTGGATAATTTGAAAAGTCAAGATTCTATGTGTACTGACATTTATGTAGTGAGAACAGCACCAAAACACTTAAAGGTGTCTGAATTGTCTGCTAAAGGTAATGTGAAGTATAATGTGTGCTCAACTTACAGCACTGGTTTTGCACAGTTTGAATAGAACTTGTAAGAATTCTGTGATTCCTCACTGTTACTGTCATGGAGATAACTAGTAACTATTTGTGATTTGTTGAGTAAAAATGTAAATGTTTGATGTTCAAAACATCAAAGATGTTAAATAAAATACTTTTTTTGGAAATTTAAGGTGGACATTTTTGTGTTACATTTAGTAATTTGAATAAAATCATGGTTTGTGTATTAAACTTACAGAGTAGAACACTTAAAAGCACTCTAGTCTAAAAACGGTTACAGAATAAAATTGTATTTTATTATTTTTTTGATAGTTAATTTTACAGGGAAAAAATGTTGTGTTTTCTGGCAAAAACTTTATTTTATATGTTATTTTCATGTTAATTCTAGGAAAAAACATTATTTTTTCTTCAAGTTAAAACATTTTCTTCTACAGTAAAATATTCACCCTAGCACTATTTTTAACCGTAAAATCAACAATAACAATACCTTCTTACCATTAAAGAAGAAAATGTTTCACCCGTAATTTTATGGTAGATTTCTGGCAACCAGAGCTGCCAGCATTTTACCGTAAAATCTACAGGTTTTTTTGGGTTTTTTTACAGTGTAAAAGCAGTGAAACTGACCGTAACCAAATGAAAACTAGTAAAAAAGAATAGATGATGACAAAAAAATATCAGCGTCCTCCACCAGTAAAACCATTCCTACTTTTGTGGTTGTCTCATTGTTGGCCCTCTACTGCACCAAGGGTTAATTTCATTTAATTTCATTTATATTAAAGCTGCAGAAACTGATTAACACATAAATATCTAGATGAACTGATATTTGTCAGACACTATGTATTCTGTTTATTTGCAAGGAATCTTTATCAAGTGACTTGTTTGTCGATGACTAACTATTATCTAACAGAGATTAAGTCAAAGAAAACTAT